GAGAATAATTTGTCTGTGTAATTATAAAGTGAATGGCACAGTAAAATTTACCACACGATACGAAAATATATAAATATATGAAATGACAGAATTAAGGAAAATATAGATATAAATAAATGTATTATTAAAATGTAAATAAAATATAATAAATATGTTGTTAAAGTATCAAATAAATTATAGTTTTATAACATTATAAAAATTTATAAAAATAACATAATCTAATATATTTATATTATTAAAATAACCTAACCTAATCTAAATTTAACCTAAACATAGCCTAAACTTAATCTATAACATTATTATGGATTTTTACAACATAAATATAGTTATGTTATTGTAGGTAATTTTATAACCTTTAATAACCTTTTATAACCTTTCATTTTTAAGTTATTCTCTTCAGTTATCACTAGACTGCAGATTTTTATGTAATTTTATGTATTGCAATATAAATATAAATATACAAAACATATTTCTACATATTTCTATAAATATACAAAATAATAAAATATATACTTTCAAGTGTAAAATGTACATTAGTATTAAAATATGTAAAATGTATTATAAAATATATTTTATACTACAGATTTTAATTTACATTTACATTGAGGTAGAACGTGGACGTAGATGCAGTTTTATTTTTTTATGAACGCTAGTAGGAAAGTGGAATCTAAATATGTCTTTTCATATATTTTATATATTACGTGTATTCCGCACATTTTTATGAATCAAAATTTTTTTTTAAAAGAAATACATAAGTACACGTAGTCTGAGCGTGACTATACGATGGCAGAAGAATGTATTTTTACATGACTGGCGAAATAAAATAAGAAAAAAAAAAGAAATGAATTGAATATTTAGATATTTTCGTAGAGAAGTCTAGTTTGGGATGAGGGAATCGTTAGGATTTCCTATATTCTAAATAGAAAACAGTATTTTGTATATTCTAAGTGTTGCCTCCAGCGTACAATATTTTTCGTGTCTATTTTAAACGTTTCGTCGTTCGTTTCAGTCTACTAATTCCATTTTTTATTCTCGACCAATTGCTTTTGGTAAAATTTCATCGAATGAAAGGAATTATTGAAATTTAATCGGATCTGTATCGATATTCAATTTACCAGTGATGTTTCAATACTCAAAAAGGACTTCAAATTAATTATTAAATAGCCAGGATTATTATAAATCAAATTAATATATTTCCAATCACGATTGATTCATTTATTTCATAATTGGATTATGTTTATCTATATAAATTCAATTTCTACAAACACGATTAAAGAAACGGAATTTTTCGAATTATTCGTCATTTTTTTCATCAATTCCAGCTACTATTACCAATGAAATACCTCGAATATTTTTTATCTTTAAGATTCTTTTCTATTTAAGCGTTCTCTGTTGATAATATATTATTTAACCAATACATTCAAATATCTCAACAAACCTAAAGAGCATTCCACAAAAATTTATCTCATTTACACTTAATTTTCTTTTCTTTTTTTATTCAATTCTTTCTTTTTCTTTTGTATG